ATGTGTATTGGACTCTCCACAAAAAGCATTTGAAAGAATAGACATCAGATTGTTTTTATGCTTCAGGTGTAAAATATTTGAGGGTTCACTAATTTATATGATGTCATAAGATCATTTAGTATCTTTTTGGAAAAATACATATATGTATATAAACAAATTTATGGATTATCTTTTTAATGTTAAATATATTGTTGTAATGTTGAATTATATACCAGAGCTTTAGAATTTGATTGTGTATCTCAAATTATGATACAGATTATTAAATTGTATCAAGCATAGAGGGTGGGGTGGCTAAAGGAATAATATTGAGAAATTGGAAAACTGATATTATTCCAGATATTAAGAAAGGATTGTTGAAAATGTCTGATTTATCTGTTTTGAAAAGGCAATATTTCCTACTAATCAAAGCATTAATTAATTAATTAATTCAATTTATATGGCTTACCAGCTCAACAAGTTACTCAAGGTGCTGCAGCAATATATGTTACTACTGTATTGCAATGATTTTGTAATATCTTACAATCTTGTATTATTCATGTTCATTAGTAACTGCACTTGCACTTAATTAACTATTAAGTGTAAAATACAAGCTAGATTTTTTTTCCTTCTTAATTTATATTTTTAGTTTATATTTTATTTTTTTAAAAAAACCTTTAAGATTAAGTATTGTTTTGTTAATTGTGTAGAAATAAATTAAATAACTAAATAAATTTATCTCTGCCTCCTCAGAAAATAGAGTGCTCCTCAGAAAACTAAGTGTATTCATTATGCAGGCTATTTCTTAACCCCTACACTGAAGCAATGTATCCCAACCATAGTAAAAGACCCGTCCCCCGATACTCCATCCTTATTTCTAATAGTTTCTGATCACTCCATGCTCACTTTTTTTCCTGGATGACATCATGTTAATAGTATATTAGGGTATCGTCACCGGTTCCTTTATCTAAAGATAAATTTGTGGATACAAATAGGCAGTAAAAGTTTACATTTTGCTTTCTATTTTGCTATTCTTCTAATTTAAATAAAACAGCATTTAACAGATAGTTTTCAAAAAATCAGAAGGGAGATGGGGACTATGTTAGAATTCCAGAGTTTTTTTTGGTGGGGGAGAGCTTCCATTGGCAAAAATGAATACTCTGCATGCTAGGAAATCAGTTTGAGTCAAAGTCCCCATAGGCCTATAAAAATAAAACAAATCCAACTTTTGTTCTCTCTTTAGCATTGGCGATGATTATTTGTGCAAATTTCTTGATATTTTCTGACTCAATTTCAGATAACTTGATTTAGTTCAAAGATTGAATTTGAATCAGAAAATATCAAGAAACCTGAACAAATACAGATAATCCTCAATTTATGACTACAACTGAGCTAAAAAAATTCTGTGGCTAAGTGAGACAGTTGTTAAGTGAATCAACATAGTTGATAAGTTAGTAACATGGTTTTTAAGTGAACCTGGCTTCTCCATTGAAGGTTGCAAAAGGGGATCACATGATCCCAGGACACTGCAATTGTCATAAATATGAGTCAGTTGCCAAATGTCTGAATTTTGATCATATAATAATTGGGATGCTGCAGTGGTTGTAAGTGTGAAAAACAGTCATAAGTCACTTTTTTCAGTGATATTTTATGTTTGAACGGTCTCTAAATGAACTATTGTAAGTTGAGAGTTACCTATACATTTATTTGATACACATTAATGTTTTAGATTTATCACCTGGAGAAGAATGAATGCTATATTCTGTGAGTTATTCTGCTAATTAATTTTGATGATCATTAATTAAATATTGGTTGATTGATTTTAAGAATATATATATAAATAAATAAAATACGTGCGAAGTTGTTTTAATGTGATTTGTACTGTCAATATTTGCAGGTTTAATTGATTCTAAACCAGTCTGAGATTTAATATAATTGGAAGAAATGTAAAACTGTGTTAGCGAAATAAAAAAGTTTTAGTGTAAGAATTGAATATGTATTATTTTACTTTATACCTCAAAATGATTGGCAATAATGTAGTGTTATGAATATGAGTCTGCCATCCTCAAATCTGGTGATTTAAAGAAATTCAGAAGATTTTGTTTTGGTTGTAGACCACAGCTTGTGGATATTTGAAATTTTCACTTATTGGAGATAAATTACTATGTAGTATTATGTGATGTGATTCAATTACTAGGAGTGGTTCTGCTTTTAAATATTTCAAATAAATATATGCATAGATTCAAAAAGAGAAGAAAAGTCAATAATCTTTGAGATTCAGTATCTCCCAGAAAAAAACAGAACTTCAACATTGCTTTCTTTTAAAAGTATATTCTTGCATATTTTTATTAAATTGTTATATTTAGTTTTCAGATAAATTCTATGTTTTATGGGAAAGCTAGACATATATTTGCTACTCTTTTTTAATCCATTAACTACTTTTCTGGCTCTCATCACACTTATTAAAATTTGGATGTTCTTAGAATTTGAAGCATTTATTATATAAGACATATCCTCTATATCCCAGATACTCTATATCCCAGAGAAGTGTCTTCCTTGCTGCCTTTTTGGTGATTTCTCCCTCCCTGTTTTATGAGGGAATGAACTTCTTCCAAAGGAATAAATACTAAAATATTAGTTATGAGTATACTGCTGGTGATTGTAGAATGAGGAGAGGCTCTATAAACAAAACACTATAATTCTACTTGCAAATATTTTAGTATATCAGTTGGGAGAGCAGTTTTGAATGTTGGGTTGACATTCCTTGATTAATTCAGCAAGCGTTCACATATACCTCATTTATATAACTGTACCTTTTTTTGTTAAAAATAATAGATCAGAACTATCAAGCATACTCTAAGCAATTATTTTCTTAAAGCATTATATCTCAGTAATATTCTCTTCCTGGTTTGAGCAATTGTTGGTGAAACTTTAAAATTTAACTTACTCATTATTTAAATCTCTCCTTTGGGAAAAATTACTAGTGGCTTTAATTGCAGGCATTTCTTTGAATGCAAATTGGAGTATGGCATTAAAATTTCATGTTATGGGCATAGATGGTAATGCTCAAATTGACTCAAATTCTGAGGATAACTTTTACATTTTTATTAACTCAGGGGGAATACCCTGTGAAAAATATTCTTGATTAACATTGTGCTATTTATTAGCCTTTTTATGAATAGGCAGGTACCCACTAATAGCCATTTTGTGAAAGCACCCACAATATTTCCTCAAAACAACCTATTCTCAGAAGATCTTTTCCTCTTCTATCTTGTTTACTCTCTCTCCTTTCATGTTTTCTGTTAGCCTACACTATATTTTTCAGTTTTTCCATTAAGGACTTCTAGTCATCTTCTTTCTTTACTTTTTTATAGTTCCAGAACAATAAACATAGATATACAGTGTAGAAAAATCAAACCTGGAACAATGAATAATGAAAAGAGGGTGCTAAACAACTTCTGCAAGCCATAGATATTACTACAAATTTAGCAACTTATTCATGGTTGCCCAAGTTAAGTTTGCAGAAGGAAGACTCTTGATCAGAAAGACAGTTACAATTTCTGACAGTAGGGTTATGAGTGCCAGCCATGTTTCATTTTAAAGTGTCAGTTTGCTGTATAGGTAACAGAAAAACAAGAAGCATTTAAACTGATTGTTTTGAAGATGAATTTCTCCAGCTTGGAAAGCACTTTACACAATTAAATATGCATAATAAATAACATACTTGAACATGATGAAATGGACCTACCATGTTGATTGTTCATAATATGATTTATTATTATGTGTCTGATTTTTCTTAAATTATTCACAATGATATTATTTTCTTTAGAGACTATTGTATAATCTGTTTATTAATCCTTAATAATCACATGCTTTCATTTGAACCTACTTGATTATTCAGAGCTCTTTTGCAATAGACTTATGAGAATTAGTTTTAGGATGATCAGAAGTGAGCAGCCCAACCTGTTACCCTTAAAAAGTGGGAGGCATATCTCCTACTCAAAAGAGAAAAGTTTGACAGCGCACAAGTGGGAGAAAAAGGCACAAATGTTTGAGCCTTGATTTCACTATAGTTAGGGATTACATTACTGTTTTTTGTTATTTCGATTTGTTTCATATTTTTGTATAAAACATATCTGCCTGCCTTTAAAGTGATATTATTCAATTTATTACAGAACAATAAACAGTGAGATGGCTTTAAATGGCTTCAAATACTTCAAATGTATTTAAGAAAGTTTATTTATTAAAACATTTATATAGCTTCTCAACTTATACCAAACTCTGGGCGATTCCCAATCAAGAAAAGTTGGGAAGAGTTCATTTGTAACACCTAAATGGAATATCTTCTGAGTCAATATACTCCTAAATACCATTTACTTTAGTATAAGTGGGAGGTAGTGATAGGGCATTAGAGTAGAACCAAGAACTCAAGTTTAACTCACTGAGGAAATCTCAGGGTAACCTACCTCACAGGTTTTATTCTTGTGGGGATAAACCAGAAAAGAGAAACTAAGTATGCTACTTTTAGCACACGAAGAAGAGATAGGATATAATCTTAACAAATATATGTCCTATTTCTGATTTTCTTAAATGTACAAGTAGTCCTTCAATTCATTTGAAGTTACAACAGTACAGAAAAAGCTGACTTATGACTGTTTTTCATACTTATGACCATTGCGGCATCCCCATGGTCATGTGAACAAAATTCAGACACTTGGCAACTGACTCATATTTATGTTGGTTGCAGTTTCCTTTTGTGACCTGACAATCAAAGATTCACTTAAGAACTATGTTACTGACTTGACAACTGCAGTGATTCACTTAACAACTGTGGCAAGAAACATCGTAAAATGGGGCAAAACTCATTCTCACTTAGCAACAGAAAATTTGGGCTCAATTGTGGTCATAAGTCAAGGACTACCTGTAACTTGGTAATGGAACTTGCAACAAGATACATTATTGTACTAATTCAAAAACTTTTCTCACAGTTTCTAATTTGGATTCAACAATCTTTCTTTCTCCAGGTTTGATGATCCCCGTCTTTTGTGTCGTGGAACAACTGGACACTTCTCTTGAATATGATAATCGAGAAGAACATGCAGAGTTTGTTCTGGTTCGTAAAGATGTGCTTTTTAGTCAGCTAGTGGAGACTGCGCTCCTGGCACTCGGTTATTCTCACAGCTCTGCAGCTCAGGCACAAGGTATTACATCAAAATGTTTAATAATTGTAGTGAGATGGGCGGCAAACAAATTTAATAAATAAAAGCATAATTGGTTGCGTAAAATAGCTCTTTCATAGTAACTAAACCTAATAAAGCAGATAGAGTAGTTAGTAGTAAAGATGCTTACCATGTACAAACTTTAAAACTGCACTCCCATGGAAAATTATTTCTAAACTTGTCCCTATTAATATACTAGGAGTTCCTTTTGAGTACTATACATATACATAAAATCAAAGTGCACATCATGAATAGCTAATTTTGTATGGTATTAGTATTTAATCAAAGCATATCAGACATTGTATCAAAATTTATTTTGCTAGTAAATATATTAACAGTGTGCATGATAAATATGAAACAGCTAATGAAGCAGTATTTATTTTCCAATGTAAACACACAATCTTTCATAACTGTACTGTTACAAATGGGATCTGAATCAAGTTAAATGATGTCATTTGATTTAGAGGATTTCATACCAGTTCTGACCAACTGTTCAAAGAAAATATGTTTTAAATCTGACTTTGTAATATGCTGTCCAAAGCTGATTATGTAAATTGTGGCATGAATGTTTACAACCTTTTGAGTTACCTAACTGACTTTTTCTTTAAAATATATGCATTTTTTTTAAGGACCATTCAGTGTTCTCACATAATTTGAAGATTTTTCTTGCATTATTAGATGAATTGTCAAGATACAGCAAAGATTAACAGCCAATTAAAGAAACAATAATTGATTAATTACCTTTTATTTTAATTAGCTGATTTGATTAAATACTGATTTGAGAGAAAGGTACTTCTTTCTGAGTAAATATGTTAGAATTGCTCTGTACATTTGTAACTAACTTCAGTAAAAATAATAGATAAAAGCAGACGTTTGTAGTTGTTAGATAGTATATACATGTTGTACCAAAAAATCGCTTAAGATCAATTTCCTTATCCTAAGTTTTCTTACTATTAAAAACAATACATTTTTTAAAAGTCTGTCAGACATTATTATTCAGGGGATCTTTTTAGTTGAGCCTAAAATCTTTTTTTACTTAGTTAATATAAACTCACATACGTACATACGCAAGCAAATGTACAAACAAAGTTTAGACATCCTATGTACAAAAAACCACTGGTGTCTGCAGGAGGAGGAGAATGAGGAAAGAGATTATACCGTGTTTCCCCAAAAGTAAGACCTACCCAGAAAATAAACCGTAGCTTGATTTTTGGGGGTGGGCCTAATATAAGCCCTACCCCAAAATAAGCCCTATTTTTGAGGTGAGGCACACGGCTAAAAATCAAGCTAGGACGGGGGTGGGGGTAGAGTTGCCCCACGTACCCCACACCCACTTACCAGGCCTTCTGTGAATCGATACCTGCCTCTCCTCATCATCCCACTTCTTCTGCGGTGTCTCCTTGCCTGCATTTCACAGTCAGAGGCGTTCCGGAAAGGCCTCTGACTGTGAAATACAGGCCGGAGCTCCATTCTCAGCTGCAGAATAAAGCTGCTCCTTCAGCCGCAGAAGAAGTGGGCCAGCTGGACGGAGCAGTCAGTGCTGCCACTGAGAGGTGAGTGGAAAAGACACCCTCTGAAAATAAGACCTGGTGCCTCTTTTGGAGGCAAAACAAAAATAAGACCAGGTCTTATTTTTGGGGAAACACGGTATGTGCATAATGGTACAAACCCTGTGACTTATGTACTTAGGTCAGATATTGGGATACAAATATGGAAAGAGGGGGGTTTGTGTCATGACATTCAGAAAAACAATTTAGTAACTTTTTCAACATTTTCAACAACTCATGGTGGATACCCATCCATAAAATATAAAGGAGCTTTAAAAAATTGTGCTTTTTTGATAGAATAGAATGAAACTGAAACTCATAACAATGTAGCCTTAGGAAAACTGTGCATGTACATCATCTGTCATTTTGTTAATTACGTGCAAAAATGATAATGTGCATTGTATTTTATGTAAACATTAGTATAAGTAGGAAAGTGAAAGAAAAACGGACTATGCTAGAACATGAAAATATGTTTTACTTAATAGATCTGTGAAAGAATTCTAATCAGAAAGAGTGTAATAAGAAATAAAAGCATGAAACAATATATCATTATTGTTGCATAAAACTGGAGAAAATAATACTTCAGGGTATTATAGGAATATTGTTCTTTTAAATATAAAGGTTATTGTATCTCACTGTTTCTGTCATGGTGAACCAATTTTCAATCTGACAGCGCTATTCATCTTGGTTAATTCATCTTGTGAATTAACATGTGGAACATCCTGAATTAAGCAACCAAGGCATCATTCTTGGCATCTCTAGAAAGAAGGTGATCCTAAGAAAGAATGCTTTTATGAATGCATGTAACTTCCTTCACTGACCCACACTAGCTGACTATTTCATTTGGGAAAACATATGGGCCCTTGAACAAGGAAAAGAGGGATTCAATCAGATAGGCACTGGCTTTTTCATCCTTAGGAAATAGTAGTTTGCTTAAGTAAGGGTGTCTAGTTTACAGATTTTTATTTTTTTCTAATGATCCAGAATCTGTATTTTAAGCTTTTATGTGCTTATAAATTGTTTTCTGAAAAACATTGAAAAATAAGATCAAATTTGCTGTATTCTAAACTGCTGTTCATATGCTACTTAAATGGCTAAGGGAGATCTGTGAAATTACTAATGCTTACTAACTCTAGCTGTTTTTTCCTCTCTAAACATCTCTCTGTTGTACATATTTCTGATTAGATTAAATATATATTTAAATATTTAATGTTTCAGGTGTATTACACACTTAAGAATCATGTAATTAATTACTTTTGTTGCATAATGTTATTAAACTTGAACTTCTATTCTTTATCATTGTTAGAGTATTAACACTATTCTATTAAAAATAAACAGACACACACAACATTGTATAAATCACTAGTAGTCTAGCAATGTGGCATTTTATAAGAACAGTGCGTTAGTAAATTTCTTTTGGCTGGAGAACTGAATTGACTTTGAAATCCCTGTTTGGGATTTCATAGTAGCATTGGGCAATACTCATTCCACATGACATAAAGTTCCCAGTGTGCTTTCTCACATACTCTGCCATGTGCTACTGATAATAATGGATGGCAGTTTTGAAAGGGATCCTGTATGAAACTCTGTCTCCAGCAGCACTCTTTCTTAAAAAATATCTTCTGTCTGGCACCGAAGCTTTTAAAATAGCTTTTGAATGTCATCCAATTCAATAAATACTATTTTAAAGCTGTATCATAGGGCAAGGGGAGGGTTTTAAGGCAGTATTAGCATTTCATTTTCTAGCAGTATTCCCCCTCAGAATTGTTTCTCCCTACATTGCAGAAATCTTAAACTATCCAAATTGATATCAGTGTAAGATATTACAAAACTTTGGTTGGGACAGCTTCTAATTAAAAGGTCAGATACATCTGTGGAGAATGGATCAGAACTAGGAATTCAGGGAGAGCAGTATGGAACACTTGAGAAAGGAAATTGGGATTCTCAAAGCTGCTTAAAAGTGATCTCTCTCCCTCTCCCTATCTACCTACCTGTTTAGCTATGGTCTGAATTAGGTCCACAGATGAGGTTTCCAATGCCCATTGTTTACCTCAAAGAGAAAATTGTTTTTAGTCAACATTGCAGATTTTATATTTGAAACTGTTCAATAAAACCATACACTTTTCAGAGAAAAAAATTATCAGGGAATGAATTGCTGCAGTTAATTGGCATTAGAATGTATGAATTCATTGAATCATCTTTGGAGAAGAGGACATGTTGCTGTTCTCTAGGCATACTTGAAAAGATATACCTTTTTGTTTTTAAATATTCAGAGAGCTTTTGATACATGAGTACTTTGGAAAAATATACCATCCTATGTAGCATTCTTATGGAGAATATTAGTTTCTGTGTAAATATTTGAATTTGGCTTCATCTTCTTGAAAATATACAGAATGTAAGCACTGAGTTTCCATTAAAAAGAGAAAACGTATTTTAAAATGAAGTTACATTGTCATGATGATCAGCAAGGTCAGGGAACTTTGAATGCTTTTAAATTGAAAGCAGAAATGGGAACAAATATTTTTCTATCTGCTATGATTTGAAAGGCTTGGATAGGTTTAACAAACTTTAAAATCTCAGCACTAGAATGAATTCTTTGTCATATCAATATTGTACTAAGTACCCTTTTGTATAGAGATTTAGTATCTAAAAGTTTTCTTTTCAGACAAGCTCTTTTTTTCTTAGGAAATATTTCCTTCCTTTTTAAAAAAAACTTTATTAAGTGAAAGGAAGGGTTGTAAATTCCCCATAGCTTTTTGATCTATCCTACACATTCTGGTTTTTTTTTAAACAGAGTCTAAAGCTTTTAGATAAAAACAATGCAGATACAGTATATCAATATCTGTTTTCGTGTGCTGCGTGTTATTGCAAAATAATTTGTGTGCTATAGATTTATGCAGTAAAACTGAGATGAGGTTATTCAAGACTGAAGCTCATAAACTCTAATTCTAGCCCTGAGCAAATCCTGGAGCTTGTAGCAGATTGCTGCCTGGAAGCTAGGTGGTTGATATATCCATAGCATTCCATGCTTGATGGTATAGTCCAGTTCTTTGCACAAGAACTCACATGTAGCCATCTCTCTTTATGGCCTACTATAAAATGTTAGAAAACATTTCCTGTGCTGATGTTTGACTGTGCCATACAGTTCAACATGAGCTATTTTCAAGGCAAATATATCTATGAATGCATCCCAGCTTTTCCAGTGAAGGCAGTACATTAAAAGCTCTGTTATTGTTGAAGGCATTCAGGAATTTGGTAAGAAAATATCTCTGAAAGGATGACCAATAGGTCATGGGCTGTCTAGTATTTTACAAATTCTAAAATGGAGAACATAATATTTTAGAGATAAGCATTGAAAAAAAATTGCAAAATTAGAAAGGAGTGGTTACATTTTTAGAGTACAAATGTCTGTACCTTTCAGTAGAAATTTTATCT